AAAGATGGCACATTTTATAATGAGACGGTACAATAATTTGATACCTCTTCTCTCTCTCTCTCTCTCTCTCTCTCTCTCTCTCTCTCTCTCTCTCTCTCTCTCTCTCTCTCTCTCCTCTTTTATCTTCTTTTTTCTTTCCTTTTATCTTAGGACATTAGATTCTCCTAATATTGAATTCTCTCATAAACTTCATGTCATTTACCTCATTAATGACATACTATATCACTGGTACATGCATTAACCTTATTATCTTATGATTACATGTACATGTATGTATACCTTGCTCTCTCTTCTTTTCTTTTTAGTTTCAGAAAAGATGCTCATGACTTAAAACAAGTAAAATACATACATACATACTATTAATAAATATAACTAAATAGTTATTTAGTATTAATTTTTATTTATTACGAGTATTTCTTACACTATATAATAATGTTTTTTTTTGTTTTTCATTGTTATTATTAATAGGCTCTGGAAACTGTTGTTGTTCAAATATTTTATAATGTTTTCTCGTCTGATCCCAGCAGGAGTGACCCTCTCATTAAGGTAATTAATTAAGTGGGTGTGGTTAACCTGTCGCCCTATTACAGGTTCTCAATATATGGGAGAGTCAGAAATATTTGAGCGAAGGAAAAATTTCGATAATTAAAGATTTATTGAAGCTACCTGAGTCTTCATTAGTAAGTGACAGTCGTCTTGCTATTATTATTATTGTGTCATGTGATATTTAGCCTAAAGCTCCACCCATTGCTCCGCCCCCTGTTGTAAATGAGGGCGTGGCTGCCCCTCCTCCTCCATGGATGCAGCAGTCAATGAGTGAGTCTCGTTGAACATTAATTATTAATAATTAATTATAGACCAAGCTCCACCTCCAATTCCACATCCTGGACCAGCTCCATGGCAACAAGCTCCACCTCCTCCAGCTCCGCCTTCTTGGGACCACCCTCCTCCTCCTCCAAGTTAATTAATAATTAAAATTGATTTTTTATAAATAATTTTTAGATTATCTTCCTCCTTCTCGTCCTCCCTGGGGACCTCCCCCTCCTTCTCATTGGTCCCACCCACACATTCCCCCTCCTAACGAACCGACACCTTTATTTGAAACTCCGCCCATTCCCCCACCCCCACCTCCTGATAATCAATTTATTGAAAGCATTGATTATAATCATCAAAAATTATCGGAGCCACACCCACTTGACCCTGCCTTTTCTGGCAAACCGTCTCCATCCAAAGATCCTCCTTTTATGCCACACCCTCCAGAGCTTGGATTGGAACCACACCCACCTCCTTTTCAAGGCGTGCAAGTATTTGATTATAATCATCAGCCGCCTCCCACTTCTTGGGATAACATGCCACACCCCTCTCACCCCATGCCCCCTCAGGGACCACGCCCATTTCCCTTTCCTCCTGATCGGTCTTTTATGCCAAGACCGCCTCCCCCTATGCCACAGGGTCCCCGCCCACCTCATTTACCATATTTCGATTTACCAGCTGGTCTCATGATACCGCTAGTACCGGTAAGTCTTGATTCTAATTATGAGTATTTTTCGATATTTCTGGCAGCTTCATGAGAGTTCTTACCGCCCACTCAACCCACTGCATGTTGTTCTTCCTCCTCCTATCCCTCCGACTGAGAGACTCATTAAAGCAGTGGAGGAGTTTTACCAACCACCGACTGAAGAGAAGACAAGAAACCAGTAAGGAAAAAGAATAGAGTATTCAAAAATTGGCCCATTTTAAAATTGTCATAACTTGAAAATTTCTTATCGGAATCAGCTCAAACTTTCTACAGAGCATAAGGGCATCAATATATATTAGAAAATGTAATAAAAATTGGGGGTCATTTTTTAGTCATTTTTCGGAAAAAACCATGGGCTATAGCCTTGGGTATTTTTCAAAATTTTGGCATTTTCTTTAAATGGCCGTAACTTGAAAAATTGAAGTCGGAATCGGCTCAAACTTTCTACACAGCATAAGTACATCAATAATATTATGTATCAGAAAATGTAATTAAAATTGGGGGTCATTTTGCAGCCATTTTTTAGAAAAAACCATGGACTATTATTATAGACCATACAAATTGCTATTATTACAATTGCTCATGTTGTTATCATCTTTTCTCTAACAGAGATGGTTGGGAGGCTAAGGCTTTGCTTGACTTTTACGATGCAAAGATGAAAGCTAAAGACATTTTGAAAAACAAAGGAGGAGGAGGAGGAGGAAATACCAGGCGGAACGTACCGCCAAGAAGAAGGTATAATGTAACTATACATGTTACATGTAATGTGTACAGTTATAACATGTAACTGTACTACATGTTTGTACATCATTTTACATTATGTACATGTACATGTAGATCCCCATCTCCAAGGAGAAGAAGGAGAAGGTAAGAGAGAGAGAGAGAGAGAGAGAAAAGTTTATTTAATTATTATTTTAAAATTAGATCTTCTTCATTGTCACCTTCACCTCCTCCTCGATCAAGAAGGAGGTCGTCACGGTAACAATAATGATTAATTAAATTATAATGCATGTACATGTACATGTAGTTCTCCGTCAAGCGACTCAAGTTCCTCGTCCAGTCGCTCACCGTCACCTCATCGTCGGAGAAGGAGGCGTGGCAGAGGAAGTAGGCGGAGCTACTCTCGTTCTCCTTCTCCCACGACTCCAACAATTGAAGAATCTTCTCGAAGAAAACCACCACCACAACAACCTTCAGTACCTATAACAACCGGAAGGTACATGTACATGTAAATAAACATGGCGACATTAATGTCAATTACATGTACATGTTCTTTTGTATAGTCAAGAACTAGGCCAATTGACGGAAGGTAACGTTGGACATCAGATGCTAAAGAGAATGGGTGAGCCCCTTATTAGACCATGCCCACTTTATCATCGTTTTAGGTTGGGAGGGAGCAGGGCTTGGTTCCAAAGAGCAAGGGATTCAAGCTCCTATAAAAGGCGGTGAAGTTAGGAATAAAGCTGAACAGTTTGCTGGAGTTGGCATGGCACAGAATAATGATCCTTTTGAGCAATTTAGACGCTCGAAAAGTTATACTTACAACAGACGTCCCCCATCAGGTGAGAGAGAGGGAGAGAGAGAGAGCAAGTATTGTAACTCAAAATTACTTGTACATCAAATATTTTTATATTTTATATTTTTTTCATTTTATTATTAACATAATTGGCCAATTTCAGGACCGCCCTAAGTTCCAAGGGGTCGCATATTCCCAGAACCAAAACGAAGAAAATGATGTTCTCTTTTGGAGATTAAAATTAATAATTTTATTCATGTACTATAATGATAATGATGATAATACAGTAATTAATTAAATTAATTATTCATTGTCCAAGGATGGGCTGAGGTGCTAATTTTGCATGCTGCAGCATAGATACAGCTTCTTCTCTGTTGCTAAGATATTTTCCAGAGGAAAGACGCGTCATTCCTAACATTTCTACGGCTTAGAGGCGGTAAGGACAGACACCCTGGGGTCTATTTTTGGTGGCTGTGGAGATCTGTTTAAAAATCAATTTAGAAATCCTTTTTGAAAAGGTAAATGTCCTTTTATTCGTTGCTAAGGCGAGGTGGCACCTTCATTGAGCTGTAGACTAAACTCATTTGTCTTCTAAAAATAATGATAATAATAATTATAATGCATAATGTGTAATATTTTGATTTATGAAAATAGAAAAAGAGGTGGTGACCCCGTCATGAAGATATTTGATAATTTCACTCAAACTTTGAACCAGTATCCTTTCCTATGGATACTCTATCCAATCCTGATGCTGCTTCCTGTGGTACTTCTAGTATCGTACTGTGTCAAGATTGACAGAAAGGTAATTAAAGACAGATAACCTTTTGTAACTTGAGATAACAAAGCATGTACATCACTTTTGAGCTGCAATTTCAATTCAAAAATAGCAAGTGTTATCTTATGCTGCTAGCTTTATTTGAAATTTAAATTTTAAAAAGTATCCTATAATATTTGAATTTTGTAATATGTTGAGGTTTAGTACCTAGTCGTGTTTCTAAGTAGGCTACGATGCTTCGGTAAAAAGTCAATTCCAAACTCGTTGGTTCACATATGTGTCATCGTCCATTTACAGCTGTGAAACACTTGTTCTCGCCCTGTTTGCTTGATGTATGGCCTAATCGTATTTAGACTTTGATGTCCCACCATGTGATTTGTTTTGCAAATAACTATCCACGCAAGCAAACCAGCCCTTTGCATCTCCACTAATGGATCCAACTAATGCTGTATTGACTGAATACAGAGTGGGGACAAATTTACAAGCAAACATGTAATGAGCAGCTACATAAATTCTTCTCCTGCCCCCACCCAGCCTTAATTAGCAGGGGCCACCCCTCAACACTTATGATGTTCTGTTGTGGCCTTGTTATCTCCTAGTCTTACTTCACTCAATAACAAATTAGCCGCTCTTGTTTAGAAGGACTAGCTATATAAATAGAGACATGGGTAACTGTTTAAACGGAGCGCCTGCTGATATAGAGGTCAGTCTATTTAGAGTAGAAGTCTTCTAGCTATTTTATAATAAGTATGGCGGCGGCCTGTGTCTTGTTTAGTGCGTCTACTTGCTCGTGGGTTAGTATTTTAACTGTGTTATGATAATGTGGAAGGACTTGAGTTTATTGTGTGTTTTTTTTTTCTTTTTCACAGCCAAGCTCGAGAACAAGCCATTCAAATCAAAGTGAGAATTGATAAAAATGAAATAATAATAATAATTTACAACATTTTTTTGCAAAGATTATATACTTATATGTTTTATTTGTTATCATTATTATTGTTAGTCTAAGTTTTAATGCTAGCTTCTTTTGTCATTGTTTTATTTTTTTTCTTTTTAGATGGCCCAAGACAGTCCCAGGCTACTGTCTCCAGCAGTAGATTATCTTCATCAAAGAAATCATCCACACATAAACTAGAGACGGAGTCAACTGATG